AGTTTATGTCCTTTTTTGAAGTTTGATTCTTTTACTTTAATCTTGCTGCTTAAATATTTAACTTCCTGTCAAAAGTTATGGGATTGGTTAATGAGTTGATTGTTTGTTTGTAAAGCAATGTCATTGCTTAGATTTCTATTTCAATCATGCAGGAATTTATGTGCTTGTGATTACTTCACGGAAGGAGGTTGGGAGTTTTCTAGGTTTCCCTGTCTACCGGGTTACATCCATGAAATTTCTAGCTTGCAATGAGGCCTTGAGGTTTTCAACTCCTCAAGAAGTAAGTTTCTATTTGTGGTCTGTAAGAAGTTGTTTTGTAGAGATTTCGCTTGATAGTTAATGTGGACTTCTCACCAAAGCTAATTTATGATGTATTGTTTGCAGAAAAGAGATGAGGCTTATTTCATGACTTTGTTGAAAGCAATAGAACAAACTCCTGGATTATACTACTCATATGAAACAGATATAACATTGAAGTAAAGTCCTCTAACTTGCAGCATGCTCTTTAAGTAGATTGCCACTATGACTTTCAGTTCTTCAAATCTTATGTTTATCAGATATATCTGATTGTGTTTTTCAGCTTGCAAAGAAGATATAAGTTAATGGAAGGGTGGATGACTAAACCAATTTGGAAGCAGGTTAGTTATCAATTTATTGTAATAGGATTATCATGGGAAGCTTCTTATGGCAAAACACTTCACCAATATAAGTAATTATTTGTTTGTCGTATTCAGATTTTACTCATGCATCACCTTGGTTTATTAGCTGCATCATATCTTTCATGTGAAAAGGATTCTCAATGCCCTCAATTTGATATTTAAATTCAATGAGTGAAGACAATCTTATCCTCTTATATAAAAGGACCTTTCAATTCAACTTAAAAACTATGCCTTTACCATCTTATGTACAGCACACTCTAATGCGTGTGTTATTTAGTAACTAAACAAAAAGGTTATTCTCAGCCTTGTTTTCCATGCCCATTCACCAGTACTTTTTTTTTTTTTGTCATTCTAAAATGGGCCCCCATTCAATATAGTCATTGTATTGGCCCTAGGAAACCTGAATACTTGTGAACACTATAAACTTTTTTTTTTTTACATTTTAAAAAGTAATGGCACAACATATAGCTAATAAGTACTTGCAGAATGCTTTTCTAACTTACCTTTCTACCTGTATTTCAGGCCGATCCTCGATTTGTTTGGAATAGACACCTTTGGGAGGAACTTATTGAGTATAAGGTCAGATATTTCTTCTTTTTTTCTTTGGGGATATTAGCGTATTATGTTGTTCATAATTTTCTTGTTAGCCAGAGTAAAACTACCTGTATTTTTGTGGTAATAAGGAATTAATACCACAAAAATATCAATTGAGATGTGCTTTCTAAAATTTGTATTTACATTTTTTTATTCTCTTTTTGACACAATTATTTTGTGGTGGCAGCTTGATGGGTTTGTCATTCCTCTTATTCAAGGAAATATCCTTAAATCTTTCTTTCTCATTCTTCTGAATTGGTTTCTATATGTCTCTGCATGTCTGAAATGGGAGACATTAAATTACATCTTTATGTTTCTATGAAATCTATTTTTGTGCTTTCACTTAACCAAGGTTTAAGTTTCCAAGTAGCACAGCTAAATCTGAAAAATTCAACTGCGACAATTACATTAGTTTCAAGGAGGTGTACACGGCGTCTAGGTAGAATTTATATCTATAATTCATTCTTCTTGTTATTATGCTACTTTTGTGGGTAGCTTTGTGATATTGCAATATGGTGATATAGGAACACGTATGTGGAGAAGAGGAGCGAACCTTGAAGGTGACACTGCCAACTTTATTGAAACTGAGCAGTTGCTGGAAGTGGAAGGTTTCAAGTTCTCGTTATTGCAGGTATATGAATTATAGGTGATAAAAGTTTGAAAAATGATCATAATTTGCTGTCTGCTTCTACACTTTCCCAACTTATGGCCTTAGCGTATCTCCTTAGAACACAAAATCAAGTAACTAGGATTGCTTGGAAGAAAACTTTTTGACAAAAACAATCCCTTTATGCTGGAGGGACCACTGTTGCTGTAAATCCTTTCATCAGCTTGTGTAGTGGCCCTAGGCTAAATATTCAATGGAATGATGTTATGCTCAACATCATGCAGTTTTACATTGCTCTGAAATCAGTAATTTTTGTGGCTATGGATAACATGGTGCTAGTGCTTAACTGACACCATATCAATTTCTTCCTTGATTTATCATCCAATTCCTCTTTATTTTCTGTAATGAATATCTTCAGGATTGACTAAAGGATAAAGGGTGAACTTTGTTCCTTATTGTCATCTTAATTGTTAGAAGAGGAATGGATCATGTAAATTTGACTTCTTCTCTTTTTCATTGGTTGCTCTGTTAACTTGACTGGTTCATGTTTATCTTTCTTGCCACCATACTTGATATAATTTGGTTTGTAGTCAAGACACAAGTATGTCTATGTTATTTTACTTTATAATCTAATTCTAATTAGAGCATTGTTGTACCCTTCCACCCATTAGAGAAAGGCAATTTTGTTTCATTGTGTCTCGTTTCCCCTCAGGTTCGAGGCTCTATTCCACTACTTTGGGAGCAGATTGTTGATTTAAGCTATAAACCACGACTTAGAATTATTAATCATGAGCAATCGGTATAGTTCCTCTTAGAAAATGCAACTCATTTTTCCTCTTGGGTTGTGTTATGATGTTAGCTATTTAATTTGTGTCCACATTGCCCATATCCTCCAGTCACAAGTTGTGGAGCGCCATTTCCGGGATCTTTTACAAAGATATGGAGAAACCATAGCAGTGGATCTAACTGATAAAGTAGGATTTCATCTCCTTTCTCTTTTTCCAAGCACAAATCTACTCTTATCAGATTAATGTTTTCATATCTGTCATTTGGGAAATTTATCCCTTGGAACTTTGTTTCTTAAGACATATCATAGTTGAGATTCAAAAATTCATGGAAAAAATGTTAATCTTTGCTTATTTTGCCCAGTTGGTTTTAGATAACCAGGCAGCTGGCTAATTTATGGTATTCTGAACTAACTCTAGATGCCAAAATTTATGATGAACTCAAAATTTGCATAATATTTCAAACTTACAAGTAATTCATCCTCCATTTTTTGATGTTGTAGCATGGTGATGAAGGTCAACTAAGTGCTGCATTCTCAGCTGAAATGCAAAAGCTTCCAAATGTGAGGTAACACACTAGATTTTTAAATACGTAGATACATTAGTTTGCAATAAATTTCATAATGACTAACTTCTATATGACACTTCAATATATGTTTTGGCCTTCACATGATTTTTCTGGAATGTTTCGTCCCTATATGTCTTTCTTGCAGATATGTCTCATTTGATTTTCATCATGCTTGTGGGACTGCAAACTTCAATAACTTACAAATTCTCTATGATCAAATCTCAGAGGAATTTGAAAAGCAAGGGTAACAAGAAAAAACATTATTGAATTCAGAAAATAGATTCGGTAGTATGCCACAGTCCTGGTATGCTTGATATCCATAATACTGTTTTTAATCATTTCTATTCCAGCTGAGCAGATACTTCCTAATAGGCACAGAAGGAAAAATTCTGCTGGAGCAGAAAGGGATTATTAGATCTAACTGCATAGATTGCCTTGACCGAACAAATGTGACACAGGTTTGTTGAGAATATTGTGGTGGAATTCCTTCTATACTTTTGTTCCTTCTGATTGTGACTATACAATTGGTAGGAGGGGATGGGCAGATAACCCTCCTTTGCTCAAAGCACTTTTGACCGATTTTCGTTTGAACCTGAAACCTTCAGCTTGAAAGAGTCATTTCTCAAAATTGGGCTGTCCTTTGAGGGACCATTATTACCATAGTTCTTTATTACTATCTCTTTTAACTCTTTCAGTGAAAAATTTTCATGTTGCACATGCATGCCCATCTGTGCGCATACATTGTAATCAGAGGCCAGAAATTTCTTAATATTTATTTATGTTTTATGCCTACAGACCCTTTATGCTCCTTTCATTCATTATGTTTGGTGCTTCTTTTTCTTTTTCTTTTTCTTTTTTTCTGAAACAGAGTTACCTGGCTCAGAAGGCTTTAAATTTACAATTGCAAAGGTTTGGGATACTCACTTCTACAGAGTGCATTTCTATGTTTAGTGAAGATTACGGAAAGTTCAGAACCTGTATGTAGTTTTTCATGCAATTGCTTCAGTATTCTGCCTGATCACAAATTGGTAGTATATTTTGTCTCATCATCAACTCTTCTCTTCTGAGCTAGTGTGGGCTGAGCATGGTGATGAGATAAGCCTTGAATATACAGGGACCTATGCACTGAAGGGTGACCTTGTCAGGTACATGAGATAAGAAAATTCAGTTTCCAAAGAATTGGCATTTATCCGTGTTCCATTTTTGATGCTTTTGTGTATTGATACTGTAGATATGGAAAACAGACATTTGCTGGAATAATCAAAGATGGGATGAGTGCTTTGTCAAGATACTATTTGAACAACTTCCATGATGGATTCCGGCAGGCAAGCTGCTTCTCTATCTTCTTCTATCACTGAAATGACGCAGATCCAACTCATTGAAATAAAAATAGCTCCTTTAATTTCACGTTTCTCAGGATGCAATAGATCTTGTAAGCGGTCGCTATACCGTTAGCA